TCCCCCCTCAGGGTCCTGCCCCGTCAGGTGTGTCCCAGGTAGACGCAGTCGAGCCTGTCGAGGTAGCTGTTGACTCTGGTACTGCTAGAGGTGCTGAGCCTGCGGGTGCCGGGTCTGGGGGTGCTGAGTCCAGGGGTGCGGAGCCTGGGGGTGCTGAGCCTGGGGGTGCTGAGTCTGGGGGTGCTGAGCCTGGGGGTGCGGAGCCTGGGGGTGCTGAGCCTGGGGGTGCGGAGCCTGGGGGTGCTCGGTCTGCTCGTGTGGCCTCTCGCGGTGCTTCGTCGAGGCGGGAGCTACTCTCTCCGCAGGAGCTGCGCGAGTGGTTTGCCCGGCGCTGGAGCCGTGCTGCTGGAGCTGGAGGTCCTACTGTTGCTGCTGGTCCCGGAGGTGCTCGTACTGGCGGTACTGGAGCTGCTGGGACTACAGGTGCTGCTGGGGCTGCTGGAGTTGGTCCTGCTGGAGGTACTGCTGGAGCTGCTGGCGGTGCTGGAGCTGCTGGTCCTGCTGGAGTTGGTGCTGCTGGGGCTGCTAGAGCTGCTGGAGCTAGAGCTACTGGGGGTGCTTGCGCTGGTGGTTCTGCTGGCGCTGGTGCGTCTGAGGGTGCTGGAGTTGGCGCTGTTGGAGCTGGAGGTGCTGCTGGCGCTGGTGCTGCCGCTGGGGGTACTGGTGCTGTCCCTGCTGGTTCTGGAGGCGCTGCGCGGCCGAGGCCGTACTTCGTTCCGCTCCTTGAGCAGGTTCTTGGTCTCCCGCCCTCTACTGGTCCTGCTCCTCCCTTAGAGTGTCCACAGCCTGTCCAGTCGCAGTCACAGTTACAGCCCGCCTCTCCCCTACCTGCTCCCTCTCCCTACACTGGTCCTACTGGTGGTCTTGCTGAGCGTCGTGAGCCTGCGTCTCGTCCTGCGTCGCCTGTTCGTGCTGCTCGCACTAGTGGTCGCGCTCCGCGTCCCCGTCCTCCTGCGGTCCCAGGAACACACGAGATGGCACTGCGTCCTTCCACTGCTCCTCTGCGTGTCCCGTTGCCGTCTCCTCCAGAGTCCTCTCTTCCTGTTCTTGCTGACCCGGCGTCTGACTCTCTTTGTGCTGCCAGTCCTACTGTCACACGTCTCCTGACTGCTATTGTCACTGACCCTTCCTTTGAGTCCACTGCTGCGTCGGCCCTAGTTGCTGAGCTTGTCGACTTTGCTGCTCGCTGTCGTCTGGACTACGCTACTAGTCTTGTTTCTGGGTCTGAGTCTGTCTGTCCTCCGTCCGTCGGGGGTGAGTGTGCTCTTAGCACGGACGTCCTTGAGGACAGGCAGGAGGAGTTCCAGTGTTTTGCGGCTGCTTTGCCTCATCTCGTGTCCACGCTGATTGCCCCTGAGGGAGACCCGGATGCACCAGACATCCCGACTCCTCGATCGTACGCTGAGGCGATCGAGGGTCCCTACTCCTCTCACTGGCAGTCAGCCATGGACGCAGAGATGGCTTCCTGGAAGTCCACAGGCACCTACGTCGACGAGGTTCCCCCACCTGGGGCGAACATCGTCAGTGGCATGTGGATTTTCAGGGTGAAGCGGCCGCCGGGTTCTCCGCCTGTCTTCAAGGCGCGTTACGTGGCTCGAGGCTTCAGTCAGAGGCAGGGAGTTGACTACTTTCAGACCTTCTCTCCCACCCCGAAGATGACCACTCTTCGGGTGCTGCTACACATAGCCGCTCAGCGCGACTACGAGCTTCACTCTCTTGACTTCAGCACTGCTTTCCTGCAGGGCAGCCTTCACGAGGAGATCTGGCTGCGCCGCCCACCTGGCTTCACTGGGTCGTTTCCTGCTGGTACCCAGTGGAGCCTCCGGCGGCCAGTCTACGGTCTCCGCCAGGCGCCCCGTGAGTGGCACGACACACTGAGGACTACACTTGCGGCTCTTGGGTTTGCTCCTTCTACAGCCGACCCGTCGCTGTTTCTGCGCACCGACACCTCTCTGCCGCCATTCTACATCCTCGTGTACGTCGACGACTTGGTCTTTGCCACTGCTGACACTGCTGGACTCGCCCACATGAAGTCCGAGCTGCAGAAGAGACACACGTGCACAGAACTGGGTGAACTGCGCAGCTACCTTAGCTTGCAGATCACCCGGGACAGAGCACAGCGCACCATTACCCTGACTCAGTCACACATGGTGCAGCAGGTCCTTCAGCGCTTCGGCTTCACGTACTCCTCGCCTCAGGCCACTCCTCTGTCTACTCGACACTCGCTCTCAGCTCTGCCTTCGGATGAGTCCGTAGAGCCGAGTGGCCCGTACCCAGAGCTTGTTGGCTGCCTCATGTACCTGATGACCTGCACACGACCTGACCTTGCATACCCTCTTAGCATCTTGGCACGCTATGTTGCTCCTGGGAGACACCGACCAGAGCACATGGCTGCAGCGAAGAGGGTGTTGCGCTACTTGTGCAGTACGTCGGGCATGGGGCTAGTGCTTGGAGGGCGACGTCGAGTGGTCCTCACAGGTCACGCAGACGCTTCTTGGGCTGACGACCAGGCTACGCAGCGGTCGTCACAGGGTTACACCTTCAGCCTTGGCTCCGGTTCTGTTTCGTGGCGGTCTACCCGCTTGTCCTCTGTTCTCGGCTCCAGCTGTGAGGCTGAGATCTACGCGGGGGCCATGGCTGCACAGGAGCTACGCTGGCTCACCTACCTGCTGACTGATCTAGGAGAGCCGCCTCGTTCTCCTCCAGTTCTGTACGTAGACAACAAGGCCATGCTGGCCTTGTGTCGGGAGCACAGACTGGAGCACAGAACGAAGCACATTGCTCTTCGCTACTTCCTTGCTCGTGAGCTGCAGCAGCGTGGTCAGCTGCGCCTTGCTTACGTGGCCTCTGAGGCCAACACTGCTGATATCTTTACCAAGGCACTTCCGCCTGGTGATCATCAGCGCTTCTGTACGATGCTAGGTCTTGTGCCTACTTGGCCTCACTTGCTCACTTCTTGACCTTGCTTGTACTGTGATCTTTCTATACCTGCACTTGCCTGTTTACCTTTATATATAATCTTGCATGTGAACTGGCCTTTTGGCCTTGCTCTTGTGCTCGGATTGTGTGGTGACATTGTGATCCACCCTGAGCTTGCTTTGCTTTGCTTGACTGGTCTTGTGACCTCTTGTTCTCCCCCACTTTGCCTATGGGGGTGTGTCAAACTTATATGCTATAGTCTGTGTAGGCTGTAGTGGGGTAGACAATATGGGGTACAACACTTCTAGGTTTTCCTACTTGTACCCACCTGTTTCCTAATTCATTCATTCCTCATTCTTCACAAACATGTAGGAAGCCGCACATGGCACGATATTAAAATTCTTACATCACAGTAATGAGACCGCAATTGCTGCTTATGTTTTTTGCTTTTGTTTGCTGTTTCTGTTTTTTTTTTGCTTCAAAATTCAGTTTATTTTATTAGTAATGGTTTTGCTTCTTGTTGACGTCTACTTGTCATACTTGTTTCGCATCCACTCTTGTTTTCTCTGCTTCTTCCTTTCGGTCCAGTTTCTTTCACCGTATTCGCTCTTCATCCCTTCTACTCGTTCATTCCTTCGTTTTGTGATGCTTGTTTTCTTTCTTCTCCAGGTCGCACGTACGCCAGACAAACTACCTTCTGATTGAGCCAAGCGATTCGGAAATGTTGGATTGTGCGATTTTATTAGATTACTGTTCATTATAATTTTGCACCTTGTGTTTCCATCTCTTCATAATTGTCCCTTTTGCAAATGATTGCGTGGTTAATTATCTTTGTGTGAGTAACTATGTTTGGTGTGCGCGTTTGTAAATGTGTGTTTATACGTAAACGTACGTATGTGAGTATGTATGCATGTATGTACGTATGCATGTGTGTATTTGCGTGTGTATGTATGTGTAAATCTATACATTGCAATAACAATGCATGTCTGTGATTTTTAACAAAAAGGCTCAAGTCTATCATTTCACAAAAGGTTCATTGGTGCACTTAGTGACTTGTGTGCGACCACTTCGAATTGGATTTGATAGGGTTGACCATTTTTTTAGACTTCACAGATTGTGTTGTTTCATGTGACAGTTGAATATTCAAAATCTTTGCTATTGACCTCCCCCCCATGCTAGGCAGGGGATGGCGGTAGCTTAGTTTTTGGGTCGTTAATTGTTACTCATTTTATTATGTGCATGCATGTGCATCATGATTCATGGCATTATATTATATATTATTCATCCTATAGCATTATTTATGCTGTCGAACATTAATCATATAGCCTGTTTAGGCTGTAGTGGGGTAGACACTGTGGGGTACAGTCTCTTAGGGTTTCATATTTGTACCCAACTCATTGTGAAGATAAGCAGTAGAAGAAGGCGCCATAGCTAGGAAAGCCCTAGCTAGGCAAGAAACAGTTTAGGCAAAGAGAGAGGGGGTTCACTAGCAGGAATGAGGATACAAATAGCAAACCCTAGAAGGGTTGTACTCGCTATAGAGCACCCCACTACAGGCTAGAGCATAACATTCTGACACACCCCCATAGCCAAAGTGGGGTGTAATCAGCAGAGCAAGCAAAGCAGAACAAGCTCAGGGTGGATCACAATGTCACCACACATTCTGAGCACAAGTACAAGAAGCAATAGTTTAAAGTTCACAATTATGAGCAAAGCTAGAGGCTATCGCAGAGGGCAAGTGAGGAGGAGGAGGCGAGACTGTAAGAGGAGAGGAGATAGGAGGCGACGACTGAAGCTGCAGACACACGGGCAACAGGAGGCACACTGGCACAGCGGCTACCGGAACAGCACTCCGGACTACTGGAGTAACTGGCCCCGCGGCTAAAAGTAGCGGCAGACGAGCAACGGACCCACGGGCGACTGGCACAGGTGGCTGCGACTGGGCTACCGGAGCAACTCCCCGGACTACAGGTGCTGCTGGCGACACGACGGCAACCTTCGTTCAACCTCCCCAAACAGTCCCACCCCCCCTGACACACACCCCCTGCTTCACCCCTAGCTCCACTCCCCCTTCACCCCCCTTAGTACCACTCCGACGGCTCCAACAGGTCCACCCCCCTCAGCGGCAGCTGCAGCACTGGGAGACGGAGGAGAAGGAGTAGGGGACGGCACACAGAAGCTGCACCCCCATGCCCCCCACCCCCAAACCCTAATTCAGGAGAACGGGCAGTAGCAGGGGTGGGGCGCCATCAGAAGCACGGGGGACAGCGGGCAGCGCAGGGGCAGCGAAGAACGGGCCGCCCACGGGCCTGGCACAGCCGCCCGAACCGCGCGCAGGCGGCCCGAGCCGCGCGCGGGCCTGGCGCAGCCCGTACTGGCCGCACGCGGGCCTGGCGCAGCCCATACGGGCCGCGCGCAGGCTGTACGGGCCGCGCACAGGCCACGACGGGTGACGGGGGGCGACGCGCGGGTCCCCGTCGCCCGTCGCAGCGCCTCCCGGGAGCGACGCGCTGCGTGACGGGGCAGAAACCCGCCGCGCGCCTCGGGGCGCACGGCGGGCAGAGAACCGCCGCGCGCCTCGGGGCGCACGGCGGGCAGAAAACCGCCGCGCGCCTCGGGGCGCACGGCGGGCAGAAAACCGCCGCACGCTCCGAGCGCGTGGCGGGATGAAAAATCCGTTGCACGCCACGGGGCGTGCAACACAGAGAGTAGCAGTAGCAGCGGAAGCAGTGAGGTGGGGCCCACAGGCCAGGAGCATATCGCTCTGATACCATGTGAAGATAAGCAGTAGAAGAAGGCGCCATAGCTAGGAAAGCCCTAGCTAGGCAAGAAACAGTTTAGGCAAAGAGAGAGGGGGTTCACTAGCAGGAATGAGGATACAAATAGCAAACCCTAGAAGGGTTGTACTCGCTATAGAGCACCCCACTACAGGCTAGAGCATAACATTCTGACACTCATTTCCTATTCCATCATTCATTCCTATTGTTTCACATGGTATAGAGCGGGTTCCCTAGTGGAACTGTTCCTTCCTATGGGCCCACCTTAATTTTTTTTTTCCTGCCGGAAGCGCGCTTTGCGCCCTGCCCTAGTCTTTCGCGGCCCCTTAGCAGCCTGCCCTGCCCTTTGCGGCCCCTTACGCGGCCTGCCCTCCCCTTACGCGGCCCCTTACACGGCCCCTTACGCGGCCCCCTACGCGGCCCCCCCCTACGCGCCCCCCCCCCCTACGCGGCCCCGACCCTGTCCCGGCCCCGTCGCGGCCCCGTCGCGGCCCCGACCCTGTCCCGGCCCCGTCGCGGCCCCTTACGCGGCCCCTTACGCGGCCCCCTACGCGCCCCCCCCCTAAGCGCCCCCCCCCCCCCTACGTGGCCCCGGCCCTATTCCGGCCCCGTCGCGGCCTCGTCCCGGACCTGCCCCGGCCCCGACCCTGTCCCGGCCCCGTCGCGGCCCCGTCCCAGACCTGCCCCGGCCCCGACCCAGTCCCGGACCTGTCGCAGCCCTGCCCCGGCCCTCCCTCGGCCCTGCCCCGGCCTCGCCCCTGGTAAGAGCATAGTAGGGCCGAGCCGCGCTGCCGAGCCGCCCTGCCGAGTCGCGCTGCCCTGCCTAGCTGAGTTGCACTGCTATTGCTGCTAGTCTGCTGCTGCTCCTGTCATGGCTAGTCCAAGTGTTCTTACCTTTGATGCTGAGGGTCGAGCGGTTGACTTCGATGTCTGGCTAGATGATCTGCAGCTTTTCCTACAGTGCGATAGCAAGGATGGCCTCTCACTGTTCGATCTCACGTCTGGCGCGTCTACTGCCCCTGCTGCTGATGCTGACAGTGCTGTTCGCTCGCAGTGGCTCACGCGCGATGCTGCTGCCCGCCTTGCTGTGCGTAGTCACCTACCATCTACTGAGCGCGCGCACTTTAGTCAGTACAAGAGTGCTAAGACTCTGTACGACGCTGTAGTTGCACGCTACTCCTCCCCTGCCACTGCTGCGCTTAGTCGCCTCATGCTACCGTACCTGTTCCCCTGACCTCGCCGCTTTTGCCACAGTCACTGACCTCATTACGCACCTCCGCACTAGTGACACCCGCTACCGCGCTGCGCTTCCTGCTGAGTTCTGCGCCACGAACCCCCCTCCCATGTACATCACCCTCTACTACCTAGTCACCCGACTCCCTGACACCCTTCGCTCGGTCAGGGACCACTTCCTCTCTCTTTGCCCTACCACACTCACCGTTGACCTCCTCGAGGAGCGTCTCCTTGCAGCAGAGACTAGTATTACCGCTGTAGGAGCCTCTCGTGGTGACCCCCGTACCCCTTTCTTTGAGGGGTGCTCCCCCGTTCCTCTTTTGCCCTCCGTTGCCTCTGCTGCTGCTGTCGACCTTGTTGGTACCGAGTCGGTCAGCGCTGCGTCTGCTCCTAGCGAGAGGCGTCGCAACGGCAAGGGCAAGCGGGGCAAGGGCGCTGGAGGAGGTGGCGGGGGAGGAGGTAGTGGCGGTGGAGGTGGAGGAGGGGGTGGGGGTGGGGGTGGAGGCAGAGGTGGGGGCTTCAGTGGCAGCGGTGGAGGTGGAGGCAGCGGTGGCGGTGGCGGTTGGGGTGGAGGCGGAGGAGGCGGCGGCGGCGGAGGTGGAGCTGGTCGAGGCGGAGCTGGGCAGTGGGGACCCCAGCACCAGTCGCGCTCTCGTGAGACCCCGTCGCCACAGCAGCTTCGTGAGTGGTACGCAGGGCATCAAGGGTCTGGAGGTGCTGGTCCCTGTACCTACGTCCTGCGCACCGGCAACCACACTGGAGAGCAGTGTGGTGGCCAGCACGCCACCCAGCGCTGCTTCGGTCGCCTGACAGACGCCTGGCGTACTCAGTTCCCTGACGCCACTGAGATCCCTCGCTGGGGTGATCTGCTCAAGTCGGGTGTAGCTATCTTTGATCTTGACTTTGATGCTATTCTTGCTGCCATGTATGCTGTGTCTATTAGTGCTGAGGGTGACTGTTACGTGCGTGTTCCGCCTGACCCGGGCATTGAGGCTGCTGCTCTAGGTGCTCGTGAGTCTGCTGCTCCAGGTGCTAGTGAGTCTGCTGCTCTAGGTGCTGGTGAGTCTGCTCTCTCAGGTACCGCGTCGGCTCAGGTCTTGCACACCTTCACCCTCGACTCGGGTGCTTCCCGCTCCTTCTTTTGAGACCGCACCACCCTTACGCCGCTCAGTCGGCCGGTTGCGGTCTCCCTAGCAGACCCCTCTGGGGGTCCTGTTCTTCCTCGCTACTCCACTGTCCTCCCGTGTCCGGCGGCCCCATCCGGCTCCCTGTTTGGTCTCTACCTCCCCTCGTTCTCTACGAACTTGGTGAGTGGTGCTGACCTTCAGGATGCCGGGGTTGACCAGTTCACTCCTGCGAGTCAGCGAGTGACCCACTGCACGTGTGCTCAGACGGGCCGCCACTTGGCCACGTTTACCCGTCGACCGGGGTCGAGCCTGTACACACTGACCACAGAGTCTCCCCCGGTTGCTACGTCTGGTCAGGTAGCTGCGTCGAGTCAGGTGTTTGCTGCAGCGTCTCGGTCAGGTCCTGAGTCTGTCCCCTGCTCGTGTCGCCTCCTGTCCCACCAGACCCTCCTCTGGCACCACCGCCTTGGTCACCCCTCCTTGCCTCGTCTCTGAGGCATGGCCTCCCGTGTCCTTGTCTCTGGTCTCCCCCGGTCCCTCCCTCCCCTTCCCCCGGGGCCTGCCCCTACCTGCGTTCCCTGCGTCGAGGGGCGGCAGCGCACCGCTCCTCACTCCTCCGAGTTTCCCCCGACAGAGGCTCCGCTGCAGACTCTCCACATGGACGTGTGGGGCCCAGCCCGCGTCCGTGGACAGGGTCACGAGCGTTACTTCCTGTTGGTGGTTGACGACTACTCGCGTTACACCACAGTCTTCCCCTTGCGCAGCAAGGGTGAGGTCACTGAGGTGTTGATCGACTGGATCCGCGTTGCTCGTCTCCAGCTTAGAGAGCGTTTCGGCTCGGACTTTCCTGTTCTGCGTCTGCACTCCGACAGAGGCGGAGAGTTTTCCTCTGACCTTCTGCGAGCCTTCTGTCGTGCGGAGGGCATCCGCCGGACGTTCACGCTTCCGGCCTCTCCACAGCAAAATGGGATTGCTGAGCGCCGCATTGGCATGGTCATGGACGTCGCTCGTACGTCCATGATCCATGCGGCTGCTCCCCATTTTCTGTGGCCGTTCGCGGTTCAGTACGCGGCGCATCAGATCAACCTTCAGCCTCGTGTCTCCTTGCCGGAGACCACACCTACTCTGCGGTGGACGGGGAAGGTTGGCGATGCGTCTGCGTTCTGTGTCTGGGGATCTCGAGCTTTCGTCCGTGACTTGTCTGCGGACAAGCTGTCCTCCCGTGCTGTTCCTTGCGTCTTCCTCGGCTTCCCCCCTGACGCGCCTGGTTGGCAGTTTTACCACCCCACCTCGCGTCGTGTTCTGTCCTCCCAGGACGTCACGTTTGACGAGTTGGTTCCGTACTACCGTCTCTTCCCCTACCGCGCTGCCCCCCTCCCCCCCCCGCCGCTCTTCCTCTCGCCCGGTCCCCCCCCCGGTAGACCCCCTCCCCCCTCAGGGTCCTGCCCCCTCAGGTGTGTCCCAGGTAGATGCAGTCGAGCCTGTCCAGGTAGCTGTTGACTCTGGTACGTCTGGGGGTGCTGAGCCTGAGTGTGCGGAGCCTGGGGGTGCTGGGTCTGGGGGTGCTGAGCATGAGCGTGCGGAGCCTTTGGGTGCTGGGTCTGGGGGTGCTGAGCCTGGGTTTGCCGAGAGTGGGGGTGCAGAGCCTGCCGGTGCTGGACCTGGAGGTCCTTCGGGTGCTTTGTCCCGGCGGGAGCTACCCTCTCCACAGGAGCTTCGCGAGTGGTTTGCTCGGCGCTGGAGCCGTGCTGCTGGAGCTGGTGGTGCTGCTGGTGCTGGAATTTCTACTGCTGCTGGGGGTGCTGGAGCCACGGGTCCTGGAGGTGCTCATACTGGAGGTACTGGAGCTGCTGGGGGTGGTGGTGCTACTGGTGCTGGAGCTACTGGTGGAGCTGGAGCTGGCCGTGCTGCTGGAGTAGGTGCTACTGGAGGTACTGGAGCCGGAGCTGCTGAGTCTTCTGGGGGTCCTGCTGGAGGTGCTGGAGCTGGAGGTGCTGCTGGAGCCGGTGCTCCTGTGGGTACTGGAGTTGGCGCTCCTGGAGCTGCTGGGGGTGCTCCTGGTGCTGGTGGTGCTGCTGGAGTTGGAGCTGACGTTGGGGGTGCTGGTGCTGTCCCTGCTGGTTCAGGAGGCGCTGCGCGGCCGCGGCCGTACTTCGTTCCGCTCCTTGAGCAGGTTCTTGGTCTTCCGCCTTCTCCTGGTCCTGCTCCTTCCTTCGAGTGTCCACCGCCTGTCCAGTCCGAGTCACAGCTACAGCTGACCTCCCCTCTTCCTGCTTCTTCTCCCTACGCTGGTCCTACTGGAGGTCTTGCTGAGCGTCGTGAGCCTGAGTCGCGTCCTGCGTCGCCTGTTCGTACTGCTCGCACTAGTTGTCGTGTTCCACGTCAGCGTCCTCCTGCGGTCCCGGGCACGCATCAGATGGCACTGCGTCCTTCCACTGCATCACAGCGTGTCCCTTTGCCGTCTCCTCCAGCGTCCTCTCTTCCTGCTCTTGCTGACCCGGAGTCTGACTCCCTTCGTGCTGTCAGTCATGCTGTCACGCGTTTCCTAGTCACTGTTGTCACTGACCCTTCCTTTGAGTCCACTGTTGCGTCTGCCTTAGTTGCCGAGCTTGTCGACTTCG